CCATTGGGGAGCGGGCGGCGCCGGGCTTCTCCCGGTGGGGGGGAACCGGGGAGGGGAGGGGACGGGAAGGGAGGGGGACCGTGCGGCGCCCGGAACCGTCTGCCCAGAGCGGCAGCGCTTCCCGGTCACTACAACAACGGCGGCCCCAGCCCACCCTTACCGGAGCGGAGGCCATTGGGGAGCGGTCGGCGCCGGGCTTCTCCCGGTGGGGGGGAACCGGGGAGGGGAGGGGACGGGAAGGGAGGGGGACCGTGCGGCGCCCGGACGAGCCCCGAGACTTCGCCGGCGCTGGTGAGAGCCAGCCTTTGCCGGTGGGCCGGCGGGGCGCTCTGGGCTCAAGTACAACCACACACGAAAGTCAATGTTTACTAACACTCGCTTTCCCCCTCGTTTTGATGCCAGGAAGTGGAGTAGTAACCAGAATGAGACCCACGGGAGTTGTGAGCCTGTGAGCGATGCAATCAGAGTTCTATTACATGTTAAAGAGACAGCGCCCATGAGTTTCAAACTGATGCCCTACAATTTAAGACGGGGGAGGAGGCTTTCAAAGAAAGAGAAAGAGCTTGCTATTAGTAGTTGTTAATACATTCAAAGGCTCTAAATTCCTGAAGGACACCTTTGAATTTGTTTAATCATTGTTTTCCGTTAAGTGCCCTGAGTGATATAGATGCTGAATACACGTGATGAATGAAAAAGTAGATGATTGACTGAATATTGAAAGAACTCTGTGCATCCCATTCTCTTTTTCTACGATATGTTTCTATTCTCGTCTACTCACTTCCATATGCTTTAGAGCTGTAAATTGAAACAGCAGCATATTTCAAGCCTTTAGGAAAACTTAAAAGCATGCTTTTTGTTGTGTTAGCAGACCACACAGTAACTATAACCATTTCTGCAGCAGCCTTTCTTAAACATAGTATCATTTCTGTTATACCAATACTAGGAAGCTGGTAGAATTACAAAATGTATTCAATAATGTTTGCAAATTATAAACTTAATTCTTGGATACTGATCTTAGAGATCACACAGAAACAACTCTTCCAATACCAATTTTATATCATTTTTAATCCAATGCAAATCATAAAAATCTCAGCTGAAAATTATATATGGAAGAAATTTTCTTGGCAACATAAAATGTAGTGATAGACCACAGCTATTAAGATACATATTCTATGCAAATGAATACACACCTTAATTACAGGTTTTCTAACTAGTTGACCAGTGAGTGAGAGTCTAGTTTTAATGAATACTGTACATAGTAATTAAACAGAAAACAGATTGTTATATTAGCTTAATTCAACTGTATATTTGTTCAATATCTGCTCTATGTTCAGCCTGGGGGAATACAAAAATGACTGAGGTATCATTTTTTCCCTTCCCTCAAGAACTCAACAATTTAACTTAACGAGTTCATATTTCAGCAAGTATAATAATTTAGGTGCCTCAATCTCAGATATGCAGATTTGACATATAAGAAGGGGTCTTCACAAGTACACGGAGAATGCATATTATGAAAATAACTGCATGGATTTCCATTTTTTTTGCACAAAAATCAACTTGTACTTTAATTCCATTTTCCCACAACTTTTTAAAGTTTCCTCATCTGGGTGAGATCCCAGACCTTACAGATCTAACAGGCTTCATAGATGATTGTGATGGGAGTTTCAGCTATGTATGTTGAGAAATATTACTCTAGTCTAGGAAAGATGTTTTAAAAGTGTTGATAAAGGGGCCAGCAGATGGCATAGTGGTTATGTTGTTGGACTTCCACACAATCAGCTGTGGTTCAAGTCCCAGATCTGGTGGCTTGGAAATCATGGCAAGTGCCTGTGCATGCATGTCCAAGACCCCAGTAGGAGAATGGAGAAGAGACTACAGTGTGCCTATCCCCCTGGGTGGTAATTTCTCACTTTCTTACTATCTCTGTCTCTCTTTCTGGCAAGCACACACACTCTATGGGAAAAATGTCTTTAAAAAAAGTGTTGAGGGAACCAGCAATTAGCGTAATGGCTATGTCGCTGGACTCCCACGTAGTCGACCGTGGTTTGTGTCCCGGACCCGGTGACTTAAAACTCACGCCGGGCGCGTGTGCGTGTGTGCCCAAGATCCCGAGAGGAGAATGGAGGAGAAGGGATTGCGGCGTGACCATCCCCCCTGGGGGGTGATTTCTCACTTTCTGTCTCTATGTCTCTCTCTGTCTGTCTGGTGAGCGCATGCGCCCTACAGTGAAAATCTCTCCAAAAAATAAAAAAAAGTGTTGATACAGCAACTTGTCAATAAACTGTTGTAAGACTGTAAGCTTGGCTACTTCTTCCCAGTCTAGGTTTGACTTTTTTTCCCTCTTTTTTAGGATTTTGCTATAGGGTGTATGTGCTCACGGGAGAGAGACAGAGAGAGGGAAAGTGAAAAATCACCCCAGGAGGAAGACCACTCTGCAATCCCCTTTCCTCTATTCTCTTCTCAGGATTTTGGGCACTCACACACATACACACACACACACACACACACACACACACACAGAATGATTGTCAAGCCAGCTGGATCCAGGACCCAAACCATAGTCTGCCATGTGGGAATGCAGTACCTTAACCACTATGTCACCTGCTGGCCCCCTAGGTTTAATTTTTTTTTCAAAGCTCATGCTTAAAAACAATTTTGGATGGGGCCAGCAGGTAGCATGGAGGTTAAGGTGCTGGATCTCACATGGCCAGCTATGTGGTTTGAGTTCTGACTGCTGGCTTAAGAATCATGTAGGTTGCGTGTGTCTACATGCCCTCAACTCCAGATTTCTCCCTATCATTAGGCTGGCCATTCTCTTGGTTCTTTCTTGTACTCTTATTTTTGTGTGTCTGACTTTTGTTTTCCTGGTATAGCACTCCCTTCAGCACTTTTTGGAGAGCTGGTCTGGTGTTGGTAAATTCTTTCAGGTTTTGTTTATCTGAGAATGTTTTTGTCTTTTTTTTTTTTTTTTAAACCATATGAAAGATAATCTTGCTGGGTATAGTATTCTTGGTTGAAATTGTTTTTCCCTTAACACTTCAAATATATTTTCCCATTCTTTCGTTGCTTGCATTGTTTCCGATGATGTTAGCCTTATGGGATATCCTTTGAAAGTAACTTGACTTTCTCTCTTGCCAAACTTAGTATCTTGTCTCTGTGGTTTTCATCAATCTGGCTGTGATGTGTCTTGGGAAAGATCTTCTTGGATTGATTCTATGTGCCACATGAATGGGGCCACTCAGAACTCAAATGTAGATGGCTACTGATTGGCTTGTCCTGGCTCCTGGCTAGATCTGGGGGGCAGGAGGATGAAGTCTGGGCAGAGGGTGTTTGGTGGTCATAATCCATGAATGAGGCCACTCAGAACTCCCCAGCAACGTTCTAATAGCTTAAAAGTAGGAAAAAAAAAACAGTATCCAATAGAAGAATGGATAAACAATAAACACAATGTGATATATACATACAAGAGAATGTTAGTCATAAAAAGGAATGAAATTCTGATACATGCTACAACATGCGTGAACCTTAGAAACATTATGCTAAATGGATAAGACAGACATAAGGTGGGACCAGCAGTTAGCGTAATGGCTATGTTGTTGGACTCCCATGTAGTCGACCGCGGTTCGCATCCTGGACCCGGTGGCTTAAACTCACTCCAGGCGTGTGTGCGTGCGTGCCCAAGATCCCGAAAGGAGAATGGGGTAGAAGGAATTGCGGCATGGCCATCCCCCCTGAGGGGTGATTTCTCGCTTTCTATCTCTCTGTCTCTCTGTCTGGCGAGCGCCCT